AAATGCGTAAACTGAGGCGGAATGGTGATACTCGATAAGATATGATCGACGGCAGGATTAATCTGTTCTATTAGTATGTGTGTCACTAGCACGAGTCCGTTCTGGTCCGTGTGCCATGCACTAGCGATGTTGCGTAGTCAGTCGAACCAAACCACTTGAGCGTCTCGAATGTGCATGCAGTCACTTAAAATACCGCTTGTTAATAAACAACAGACATTTAATTTGGGACTAATTCTTTAGGATTGAGTGTTAGGAACTTATTCAGATGACACAATGATACTGTTGTAAACCAAAACCTCTGGATTCACTGCGATATCAACACCAGACCTCTGCTGTTAATGATTAGTGTATTGGGTGAATTGTTTCGTCTTTTTTGAATCCTTTCCGGTAAAAGCCAGGGGCGTCATTGAGAGGTTAGAGGTTTTTCCTTATGCGCGCGTACGTAGTGCTACGCAGTGTATTGTGGTAAAATTGCGTGGATATGACATGACATCCCTAATACGCGCAATTTTTTGCATGGCCTCTATTTTTTTTGAGCGTTTCCTCGTGTGGTTAGGTTTCTGTAGGAGTTATAAGTAGTCTTTGCACTGTTGTGAGATAATCCACCTTCTAGACCTATATTGGTTTCCCTAATGACAACAATGCGAATAGTCTACTTTAGGGATATATAGGTCCACACTGCGTCTTTTGTTTGCATGAACTGCAATTTTGCCTGATTCTAGTTAACACATCTAACTAACTGTTTTGAGGGCGTCATGCACTCGCACGACTTTGATCCTTGTTTGCCTATCAAGTTCGCGCGATTGCTAAATTCCACGTTACTTTTGCAGACTAATAGTGGTTTCTGTTTACATCTGGAAGGCTGTGGGGTCATAATCACAGCCTAGGGAAAATATTTTTCTCCCCTGAACATAGCCATGCTGTTTACTGCCACATTTACTGTGTGAATGAAGCGCCTGTTGCCGTTTGCCTGTCTGTTCTTTGTTCCGCAATATGCTGTCGGAACGAAAAAAACATTAATTTTACCCATCTTACTTGGTTCTGTAGTCTTGCAACGTTAAGCTGGCCTAATTGAGGTTCATAACTCGGTAATCCACCCAGTCAATCGCAATCATCCAACCTGTGGCTCTTCAGTGAGTTCACCTGGTTTATGAATACCTTTCATTTCCTCCCTGTGTATTTTGTTGGCCAATTCTCAAAACGGTAAGCTATCTGGCAGCCGGTCTCCTATTTTGCTTATGCTTGTTAATTGTGTAAGGGATTAATACCAGTGTCCTGGTTTATGCGGTCATGTGTACATATGCGTTTCTATTTGCTCATTTAGCCGTAGCACAAGTGATGCCATTTAGACTAATTTTCGACCCCAGATGACTTATGAATAAATTGGGTCATTTCACACCTTATCGTGTGTCATTCTGTAAGCCTTATGTAAGAGCGGTGCAGTGAACTTGCAATGCTCCAGATCTTCCCGAATTCCCCGGGAAAAACCTGAAAACATTAAGATTTCGGTAAAATTCGCCGCCATTCGTTCAGTGTATGTCCATAATTAATCGGCCGTGTCTCATACTGTAACAAGTCCAAATAGATGAGGTATTCTGCGTATAGCGGTAAATAATTACGATTCTGACCCTTAATATACTGTTAAATATTGATTTTTGTACACATGGGAGGTGGAAGACTTCGCAACCTAGGTGGACTGTTAGCTGCGGCAAAATCATTATTACATATAAAGTGGTACAAGGCTTGCGCTGAACGGAGCCTCTGCCTTTATCATAGCTCCTGTTATTGACCATACTTGCGATTGTCCCCAACAGAGTTCATTGTACGCATCGCGTAATATGCATTCATTGCATGGTTTTCCAAGACTACTCAGTCTTAACTAAACGTGTTTGGTCATACACTGGTTGAAGTATTTGCACGCCCTAAGAGTCCTTGTTCGTCACTAAAAATGCATTGTTATTTCCATGTAGATACTTTCTTCTCCCACTTCGCGAGACATCATTTATTGCCGTCAAACTAAAAGTATGTACATAATAAGACAGTTTCCGGACTGGTTTTACTCTTTTTTAGAGAATGTACCAGAGGTGGCTTTTGCAACTTCATGCACCTTAAGCCCATCTCTCGCGAGCTATGTCGAACTCTCTTTAATCGAGGCAAACGGCGTTTTGGCGGTGGTCGTCGTCCATCAAAGCCTGCCGTCAAGTCGCGCCGAAAGTCAAAATCACCGGGAAAACGAAGTTCGCGTCGTTAAGCTGTTATAGATTTGTCCCTCACGTACTCCATTGGATTTTGTGTCCACCTGGGCAAATCCGCTCCTTACGCATATCTACATTAATTGCCTTTGTACTAAACCCACTTTGTATCTTCTTCAGATCGGCAATAAAGCTTCTGAAGTCCTTACCCGGAATATAGCGCTCTGTTTATGTTTTATCTGGCGACCTATAGTAGCATCCTAGCATGAAATCTCGTTTTTTCGCAAGATTGTCGTTTCGGAGGCCAGCCGCCATCATTCGCACATGTCCAAGCGTCTTGCATCTTAAGTAATTGACGATCCTTGTGTTCTCGTATCTGGCAGGCACAGTCGTTAGTATTAAGCGGTAGCTCATCCGGGGTTGAACGTGGTAGACGGGAAGTTCGGAACCATATGGCTACGAGGGGTCCCTTGCTGAAGTCGTTGTGTCTTACAAGTCCACAGTTCGCACCACGAAGATTCGTATATGTGCTAGAATTTCCATCCGTGACCTAACTAAGGGCAAGTGAATGTGGGATGAGAACTCAAGAATTCGATCGACACGAATTGAAAATCTCGAAAAACTGTTGGCACGATCAACACTTGTGCCAACACGTCAGGATTGGCTTCTGGCAGGAATGTTTCCGTCTTTTCCATATATGGATATGCAGCGTGCGGTTTTTAATGTTTGACAGGTGTCGTGCCGCTTACTTTGGTTGCTTACTCCGCAAAGATCTGCTTTTCTTTATCGAATAGCAGGTAAGGAGCCGATTGCAGAATCGCCAGCTCACTTGTACCAGTCGTCTACATTACTCCCAGCCGAGCAATGACCACTCAAACAGCGGGGTGGGTAACTTAAATTGCGACCTCTTTGCCTGTTGTTGGTCGAACTTTGGTTTTTCTGGCTCAGTATGGGCCGAGTTTCCGCTCACAATACTCCATCCCGCTTTGCCGTAAACTAACAACATGTCAACTGCGGAAGTCCTGATTTTCTGTGACAGTTTGTCAAAGGTACACGTCCTAAACGTCTGCCTATGAAGGCAAACTCTTAGGACATTCGAGCAAATGGCCGCAGATATGCTCAGAGTTTATATGATTGGCATAACGTCGGGGTGGACCTTTTATGTCACAGCTTTCAGCGACCTATTTTCTAGCTGATTTCGTTTTAGTGGACTGTTCCAGTTCGTTCGTGAGGACCATTTACTCTTTTGAGCAGTTTATCTGTCAATTCTACCCATAACACTTCGTTGGTTCTCGAATTTATCATTTTAACCAGTCCGTTCGGTCTACATGCCCATGAGCTAGTTTGGGTTTTAAGTCTGGTCATCCTTACTCACTATCAGCGTGTATAAAGGAGGCATTCACGACATCACGGAGGTTTGTAGTGCATGGACGAAAGTTCAATGTGGTGGACCTTTTCCTGCTGGCTTAATGCTTGCAGTTGAATGTGCTTACAAATGGTACAAGTTTCTCCCTGTAAGGTTCTAAGGACATTTTATCAGGAATTGCCCTGGACTTGGGTCTTTAGCTTTCCCAAAATACTCTTTCACGGCCAGATGGACCCGAGTTCGCTGTCCTTTTTAGCCCACTCAGGTCGACTTCTCGGCGCGAATTATTTCGTGAGAGATTTTGGCCTACGCATTTACTGCGATATCTGGTAGTAACATAAATAAGGATCTCTGTTACGAGT